GCGTAAGCTCACCCAATAGCTTGGTGATTTTGTCGCCTACTAATAGATCAGTGAAGAACATTGTCTACAAAGAAGTTTTGTAGATAACATATTGAAAAACTATTAGTAAAACACACTAATAGATCAGTGAAAAACATTGTCAATAAAGAAGTTTTGTTGATAACATATTGAAAAACTATTAGTAAAACATTTATTTTGAACCTTTAGACTCGGGCGCGGATCCAAGAGGGGGTGGTAGGGGTGGTCGCCCCCCACCGTCAGCTGTATAAAAATGTGTTAATCTAATTTGTTGTACTATTAAATTGCATTATTTTGTGTTATACCGCTCTAATTTATTGTTAGATCAATTAATTTTCGTCTTTTATTTTTATAACATAAATATATGAAGTGTCGATACCAATAATATTATTATTGTGACCGTATGAGCGACGATAATCGCCAGCCGGCCAGCCCAACCGACCCATAGAGTTTTGTCCTAAAAATAGTATAAGATTCCATGTTTATTTTGTTTACAAAACTGACTGAAATATAGGTATTAATCTATAATACAGATGAGTTTACTTCTAGCAGTACCAAATGACTGTTGATTTTAAGGTACGTACAGACCAAGCAACATTTTGTTGGCAACACGTTGCCGAATATTGGCAACAAATTTGTCGGATTCAGATACATGTATCTAGATACACGTTGTCAACAGTGTGGCGCGTTCAAACCAAATAATAGTTGCGCGTCAACAGTCCACATCCGTCTGTTGTAGTTGTAGTTTAAAGTGTTAAAAAGTGAAAGTGAAAGTTAAAATATATAAATATTTAAAAAATTTTAAACTTCTACTTTACTATTTTTTAACAACTAGATACCTACCTCAATTGTACTGCGACTGCCCCTAGAAATGTTATTTTCCACGAGAAACTTCATCATATTATACCCAAACCATATATTATCTTCCGAAATTGTAGCAGCTCCACTTTTACTTTTTTCTCCAATTTTCTTCCGTTCCCGGCTAAACTGAGTTTTTAGGGATTTAATTTTCCTTGATACTTCATCCACATTTGTTTTGAAGTGCGATGCTATTTTGGACGTTTCATCAAACTTCAAGTTTCTATCCCGATATTCTTTGGATTGWATGTCCCACAAGGCAGGGGCAGCTTTCAGCATTTCAATCAGTTCTATTACGAGCTCTTTTGACCACAACATAATGCAAAAAATTAAAAAGTACAACTAAACGATATGCGAACGTGTGTACAAATCAATATAAAATGACAGTAATTGTTGACAAAATCGTCCATAATGAGCGATGTTTTCCATTTCGATTGGAAAACTCAGATACAAGCAACACGCAACAAATTTCTTTGATGTCATGCCGCCCAACATTGACGTGTATCCGTCAACTTTTAACCAGTTGCTGAGATACATGTTGACAACACTGWTGGCAACACGTTGCCAACAAAATGTTGCTTGGTCTGTACGTACCTTTAGATTACACACTACGTAGTTTGACAACCATTGATATACACGTACTCGTATTACGTATAATTTCCTTACTAATCAGTAATCGAAATTATATTAATAATACGCCGTTAAAAGTGACCGCGAATTATTTTTTTAATTTAATTGGTGACGTTTGTATTATTGTTGTTATACTGTAATTATTTCATATTATTCGTTTATTGAGCATAAACATATAATGTCTAAGAGGAAAACTGTCAATATTACACATTATTTTAAAAAGAAAAGTGCAACTAGTTCAAGTGCTGTGGAAAATAATGATGGAACAATTGAGGAAAATAAAAATCGAATTGCTGTGGATTCAAGTGAGTCGTCTTTACCATCCAAAGAAAAAATTGAATCACATATTTGTCAACCATTAAACACTGAAATTAATTTAAATAAAACACTATATATTGGAGATTTTTTAAATTCAAATTCTTATATTAATAATATTTTTAAAAAACAACTTCTTGAAAATCATTGGAGACCCCTAAATAAAAATGATTTTCCTTTTTCTATTCATAAAAAATGTGGTAGTATAGAAAAAAGATTCGTAAAAATAGAGCATTTGGAAAAATATTTTTGGCTAGTGATATCAAAATCTATGAATGGTTTATTCTGTGTTTATTGTTCAGTTTTTAATCACTCTAATACTGGCAAAGGAAAATGCCTCTTAAATTTCTTGTAACCGAACCTTTAACCAAATTTGCTAAACTTCTTGGAAAGGATGGTTACCTAGAAACTCATAGTAGAAATATTTACCAAAAAAACGCCGTTCAGGATGGAAAATCATTTTTACATGTTTATAATAATCCACAAAATAAAATTACTAATAAATTAAATACAGCTCATTATGAACAAGTTAAAGAAAACAGATCAAGGTTGAAACCAATAATTGACTTGTTAATATTTCTTGGTAAACAAAATATTGCTATTTGAGGACATCGCGATGATGGCAGTATATTTGACGATTCTCAAAAGCCTACAGAAAATAATGGAAATTTCAGGGAATTATTAAATTTTAGAATTTCATCTGGTGATGAGATTTAAAAAAATCATTTATTAAGTTCCGAGTCTAGAGCCACTTAAATTAGTAAAACGACACAGAACAAACTTTTTTGTAGTATAGGAAATTTTATACTGAAAAATGTGTTGGAAAGAGTAAAACAATCAAAGTTTTATAGTGTTATTTTTGATGAAACCACCGATGTATCAAAAATTTCCCAGTTAGTCACTGTTATTCGTTATGTCCATAAAAATGAAGTGTATGAAGATTTTGTCGGATTCCTAGACTGTCATCAAGACAATTATAAAAATACTGAAGGGGAAATAGAACCTAAAATAAATGGTGAAATTATAGGAAATTCAGTTTTAAATATTTTAAAAAAACTTGATTTACCATTTGAAAATTGCGTCGGAATTACAACAGATGAATGTAGTGTTATGCTATCCGAAAAATGTGGAGCAGTTAAAATACTTAAAGAGAAAATGAAAAATGCAATCAAATGCACTTGTTTTAGTCATGCCTTAAATTTGTCTATTATGAAAGGATACAAAATTAAATTTGTAAGAAACGCTTTCGGAATAATGAAAGAAATAATTAATTTTTTTAATACATCGGCAAAAAAAAAATTATATTTTAAAAATACTTTAAAATCATCATTACATTCCTTATGTGAGACAAGATGGGTGGAAAAACATGATTGTGTTTTACAATTTACAACTTATAGAATAGGTTATGATAATAATCATTATCTTAAAAACTAAATTAATATATGTATAAAATATTATTTCAAAAATCTTAAATTTCAATAGATTTAAAACTCTGTGAATATAATATTATAATATAAATAAATCCATAATGAGGTAATAATGTAAAAATTGTATTTCTCTAATGATAATCTGTAACTATTGTTTAAATTGTCTTAAGTAAACTATTTATAATCAGACATATTTTTGGTTATGCCCAATAAAATATAAWATTTTTTTCCTTAATCATCTTGTAAACATGTGATTGCTACATGTTAAACATGACAAATTAATGAAGAATTTTCAAAATTAATAGTAATGTTCATACATTTATTATTTGCGATGAATTTTTAATTGAAAACTATTTAATGTTTGGAAGAATAAAAAATATAATTTGCATATTACACCATTTTTAATTCATCAAAACTTTTGATCTAGTAATTTTTAATTTTTTAAGCCAAGTATTGTCTTAAAAATATTCAATCATTAAAAATAAAACAAATTTAATTACAAACAATGCAAAAACATTATAAAATAAAATTACTATCCGCTGCAAATGGATTGCCGTTTGATTTAACATAAGGCTTAAGGTACTGGCCTGGAACCTAACAAAGAGTATGTATAACTTTAATAATCATTTAATCATATTTATCAAGGTATGGGTACCATTTGTAATATGGGAGCTGAAATTGGAGCCACTACTAGTTTGTTTCAATATATTCACCGAACGGCAAATTATTTAAAAGCTACTACACGTAAGGATATTTCTGAAGAAGCTGCAAAGTATAGTGAATCATTGTTGACTCCTGACAAAGGCTGTCATTATGACCAGGTAATCCTTTGTACTTGTACTAATACAATACCACGATAACATGTTGTTATTTTATCATTGRTGTAGTTAATTGAACTTGATTTAACAACATTGGAACCTCATRACAATGTACCATTTACACTAGATCTCGCTCAACCTATTTCAAAACTTGGGAAAAATACCAAAAGTAACGATTGGCCTGTTGAAAATAAAGTTGGTTAGTTACTTATTTATTTAATTTATGACAAATGTTGGAAGAAATAAAGGCAAATACTTGATCTAATAACATTTGATTTTAAAATGCCAGTAAAATCAAATCACAAGGAATATTGTGTTGCATTTTCAAACCTTAGATTTTTAAATTAAATATTTTTGAATTTTGAAAATGAAAATAAATTTATCTATATTATTTATAATGTTTAWCGCAGATGATAACTGTGATAATAATTAATTGATATTCAATAATTATTCAATACATTTAATTACAATTATATGTGAATATGTTAAATATTAGATATTTTAATATTAGNTATTTTTATATGATGATTGCAATATTATATTTACGGATAATTGTATTTTAACAGTTAATAAAATAAATCTAAATAAAAAAGCTAAGATATCTACTCATCGTTCATGGATTTAAAACMATTTTAATATACCTAATATTTAACATATACATATAATTAAACGTGCGTTAAACATTATAAATTATATAGACAAATTTATTTTCATTTTCAAAATTCAAAAATATTTAATTTTTCAAATCTAAGGTTTGAAAATGCAACACAAGGTTGCTTGTGATTTTATTTTACTGGTATTTTAAGATCAAATAATATCAGATCAAATATTCGCCTTTATCTCTTCCAACATTTGTCATAAATTAAATAATCATGTAACTAACCAACTTTAATTTCAACAGGCCAATCGTTACTTTTGGTATTTTTGCCAAGTTTTGAAATAGGATGAGCGAGATCTGGTGTAAATGGTCCATTGACATGAGGTTCCAATGTTGTTAAATCGAGTTCAATTAACTACACCAATGATAAAACAACRACATSTTAGCGTGGTATTGTATTAGTACAAGTACAAARGATTACCTGGTCATAATGACAGCCTTTGTCAGGAGTCAACAATGATTCACTATACTTTGCAGCTTCTTCTGAAATATCACTACGTGAAGTAGCTTTTAAATAATTCGCCATTCGGTGATTATATGGAAATAAACTGGTRGTGGCTCCAATTTCAGCTCCCATATTGCAAATGGTACCCATACCTTGATAAATATGATTAAATGATTATAMAATTATAGATACTCTTTGWTAGGTTTGGTTACGTTATAAAGATAGAACCCGACTAATAATAATATCTATGTTAAAAGAGTATTATTCATTTATTTATTGTTTCTATTAAAATATCCTCAATTGTTTTTTCTCGAAATCAGTGAAGCATTCTATTCTACTAATAAAAACCACAACCATATATTTTTTATTTTTATATTACGTGTCACCAATTATGATGGTGACCTTTAAAATAAACTATAATATATTTTGTTTGTGTTATCATAGTTATATTGTATAATACTATGTTATTATGTTTTGTGAGCAGAAACTAAACTAATATGCGAGCCATCCTATAGTGACCTAATTGGGTTGTGAAATCAAGCTACAAATTCTTCCAGAGTCTCATATAGATATCTATTGGTATAACTTTTAAACAGTCCAATAGTTTTTGAGTCTATACAGAGGTCTAAGAAAGAAAATAATTTTTATTGTATATATGGACATTGTTACCTGTACATGATATATTATCAACTCCTGGACCGTGATATTCAATTACAGCACCGGTTCCTCCTTTGACTGTCAAAATATCTGCCACTTTAAGGATGACGTCCTTTGGTGTTGTCCATCCTTTCATTTTACCAGTTAAATGGACTCCAATAATCTATATTTAGAAATTAAAAGCRTAATTTAAAATTATTAGATATTAATTATTATTATTGTTTACTTTAGGACACTTCAACTCCCATGGAAAATTTGCCATCACATCAACAGCGTCCGCACCACCTACTCCAATACACAATCCACCAAGTCCACCGCCATTAGGCGTGTGAGAGTCTGTGCCAATCATCAACAATCCGGGAAATGCATAGTTTTCCAGAATTATCTATATACAAAATATCACAATTTAATTTAATAAATAAATGTTATTTTTATATACATATAATAGCTAATATTTTGTTTTAGTTTGTAATTTACTTGATGAATAATCCCAGAACCAGGGCGCCAAAATCCAACTCCGTACTTAGCACTAGCYGTTTTCAAATAATTAAATACTTCTTCGTTATCTTTATTAGCTCTTTTTAGGTCCTCTTGTCCACCGATCTGTTGTTAAACAATTTTTTAATAAAAATGATATATCATTTTCAACTGTTTAATAAATCTAACTTACTTGAGCTTYAATTAAATGGTCACAATGAATWGTCGTAGGTACCGCMACTCTRGGTAAACCAGATGACATAAACTGCAGCATAGCCATTTGAGCAGTAGCATCTTGCATTGCCACACGATCGGG